GAGAGAGAGAGAGACCGTGAACCTTGGGGGCGACTCGGAAAGTCGTAGGAACGCCACCACCCCCGACTTAGAAATCCAAGATGGCTGCACTGTGTATCAACAGTCGTGACAGGTGTAGTTTTTTAGCTCTACTGTCATTAAGTGTCATACACACAGTCCTGACCAGTTACTGTCTGTAGACATGTGACTATGGTGCGTGTAATGCATTAGAATGAACTGGTTATGCTAACAATAGCTAGCTGGCTAATGTAAACATTGTTCCTGTGCAACTGAATAACCATCAGCTCAGATTATTTGAGTATGACGTCACTCTGCGTGCTTCACATTCTCAACACGGACACGTCATGTCAGCACCATCAGAACCTCAGAGCTGATCAGGTGACCAAACATCTTCATCTTCATGAGCAGTGAACTGACCACTGACCTTGGCAACCTCTGTGCACCCCTCCCCCTCAGGGACCTGGTAGGTGAGGTCGGTCTCCTCGAAGCCCGTGGCGCTCATCCTCTGGTCAGAGGAGGGGTCGGAGCGAGGGGGGGAGTCCGGAGAGTTGAGGCAGGTCTGGATCAGAGCTTTGCCCGTCTCCGAGGTGATCATCGGCTGCAGCTTCCTGGTGGCAAACGTGTACACGTGACCTGTCTCACTGGCGACCAGCAGCAACACCTGAGTCCCGGTTAACGTGGACAACTCGTACGCCTGCAGAGGGAGAGGGGGGGCACGGATTATATTATGTAATACACATACATGTGTGTGTGTGTGTATAAATATGTGCTGTGACCTCTGAGCCACATGGTCACATGACCACAGTGGACCTACCTGAGAGAACTTCTGACCCTGTGACCTTTGACCCCAGCTGCTGACTCACCTTCTTCATGATGCCGGTCTTCCTCTTGCTGAAGGTCGTGTACCTCCTCAGTTTGTTGTCGATGAACTCCATCTTGATCTTGACTCTTCCTCTGGTTTTCTTGCCGGGTTTGGCCCCTGGCACCCCGGGACTGACCCCGACGTAACCCCCGCTCTGTCCGCCGGAGGTGGGCACTGCCTGACGGCCGACCTCCCTCTCGCTCCTCTCCCTCTTCACCCCTCTCCTGTCCCCTCCTGAACCCGGTGTGTCCTCCTCGTCCCCGGACTCGGAGTCCTGGTCGGAGCCGCTGTAAATCACCTCGGTGCTGATCTCTCTCTCCTCGAACCGCCCCCCCCCGGTGTCAGAGGCTGAGTTGGTCCCAGTCGTGCTCCCCGTGAGTCCGGGTCCGGTTCTGGTGCCCATTCCTGCGCCGCTACCCGCCAGCAGTCCACTTTATGTCCCCCCCCCCCGGACACGTCCTCTCGGTGTGAACACGAACCGTCCCGCCGGGGTCTGGGAGCTGCAGCCCGGGCAGAGGCAGCTAACAGCACCGCTAGCTGCCGGCTAGCAGCTAACCAGATAGCCGTTACTTCAGCAACGAGTCAAGCTCGTCAAGTCCGGGAATCATCGACGGTTCAGGCCGAACGACCGAACGCCACCGGACCCAGCGGCGGGAAACGTTCGTCCATGAAACGAAATAAAGTTTAAAAGTTGTGTTCGGTGCACTGAGGCCCGGCCCCCAGATCACTCCGCTCCACATAAGGAAATGACGAGCAGCGCCCGGGGGTGTCAGTCCGCGGTGGAATATAGCTCCCCGCACTTCACGCACAGTTGTCAGTCTGCCGGTGTCTGACGTCAAACTCGGTGGCAAACGCTACAGTGACGTCATCTACACGTTCGAACCCGCTCACAACGACCGAGTCGCGGGTTTGATAGATCCTGTGCGCAGTGATATCAGCAGCTGACGTGTTCCTGGAGACGAGCACCGGAACTACTTCCCTCCATATAAAGAAACAGCTCTCCTTATATGGTCAAAGAGCTGCACTTCCGGGAAGAGTGGGAACACGTGGAGGGGGGGGGGGGGCAATAACAATAGGTGGGAGTTTGTTGTTGTTGTTGTTGTTGTTGTTGTTGTTGTTCTCAGCTGGTTCACATCACCATGGTAACAGACGCTGATGTCAAACCTCTGACCAATCAGGAAC